ATACTGGCCTTGAGTATATTGGTTGTTGCTTTTTGTGACTTAAGTTGAAATCCTTCCCCTTTAGAGAAAAAAGAGATCATAAAAAAATTTATTTTGGCCAGAGACCTGTCTGCTAAGTGAATGAGAAGTCTCCAACATATCCTTAAAATAGAACTATAGAAAGGAAAGAAGAGCCGATTCAGACAATACGGATGAACCTTGCAAACATTACGCTAAGTGAAGTAAAAAGAAAAAAACAGGCACAAAGGCCATATATGATATGATTTAATTAACATCAGGTGTATGTTGTTGTTGTTATGTGCTGTCAAGTCAGACCCGACTCATAGTGACCCCTCCTTGGGTTCCCGAGGCGGTATCACTACAGAAGTAGATCGCCCCATCTTGCTTTCGCGGAGCGGCTGGTGGGTTTGAACCGCCAGCCTTATTATGGTTAGCAGTTAAGTGCCTTAGGCACTACGCTACCAGGGAACAGGTAAATTCATACAGAAAGAATACAGTTGCCAGGGGGAGGTGACAGGAGAAAATAATGGGGACTGTTTGCTAATAAGTATGACATTTCTTTATTGGAATGACGAAAATATTCTGGAACTAGATAGTGGTGATTGTTGCACAACATTTATATATATTAAAAACCAATGATTTGGACACTTTGAAAGGATGAATATCATGGGATTTGACTTATATCTTAAATGTTAATAAAAGAGTGGATTCAGTATTATATGCAGAGAGCACACTAGAAAAGCTATTATTCATATTTTGAAACATTAGTCTATAGTGAATACATATAGCGATATGTTTTGACAATCAAGAGAGAAGATAGCTCAAATGTAAAAGTGAAAATATTCATTCTAGAGCTACGAAAAATCCTCTTATTTATTATCAAAATCACCAATACATCAGCCTGTATATGTCATTCTTACTGGGAAAAATATGTAAATCATTTTATTGCAAAAAACAATATCTCGCAAACTTTCATAGATTTTTTAGTATGATTTATTCTATCAGCCACTCATTCAGTAAAGATTTTTTTATCATTAAGATAATCTATGTACTGTACTCTGTAGGCCATAGGCAAACAGATGAAATTAGGCATATATGATCTATTTGGAGAAGCAATTGCATTAAAATAATAATAATAACAACAAATTAATAGCAATGTGTTAACTGCCTTGAAAGCTTACAGGAGAAACAAACAGGGAAA